AATAGGGTATGACTCCAAAGTTGATCTTTGTGTGTGTGTGTATATATATATATATATATATATATATATATATATACACATCAACCAAAGCCAATCATTATAATCAAATTAAGATACCAGAAAATCATTTAGTCCTTTACTGTATTTTATTTAGATTCAGCTAATCAGGAAATATTTTAATCACTTTTAAATGTGCTAAATACTGAGCAAATTAGAGGCACTTCTTAAGCAAATATGCATTAAAAAAATCCTTTTTTCATATTAGTGGTTTATTTGGGTCAATGTCTACCTGATCGACTCAACAGCAACAACTCTTCTACTTCAAAATAATTAATAAATCCATAAGAATTTTCCATTCTGATGCCTTAAATCACATCCTAAATTCTTTCATTTGTTTTTTAGCTTGAAATATAAAGATTTATCTAGTTGAGGGACACTAGAACTAAAAAAAAAAAAAAAAAAAACCTTAGCTTTAGGGCTTAGCCAGGAAAAGGCCTTCTTTTTTTTTTCTTCTTTTTTTTTTTTTTTTTTTTTCTTCTTTTCTTGGATTGCCTTTATCTTTTAATGAAATACCAATTATTTCTTCTTTAAACATTTTTTTATTATAATCTTATCTGCAAAGAAATGCTGCTGTTAATCATTAGACATTTACTTACCTATTTATAAAAATGAATGTCTTGCTTACCTGAATCTAATGCTACTCTCCATTTCATTTACCTTTTCCTCTTTCAATAAATCAGGTTAGTCTACTCTAAATTCTTAATTCACCAAAGGTGCATTAATTATTTTAACAAAAATATAAAAAGCTTACACTTTTTTTTTTCCTCTTCCAAATGTTCTTTTTATTGGCCTTAATCAAATTTCTAATTTAATCCATGATTTATGCAATAAAAATAGATATTTCTAACATTCCCACTTCTATGAAAGCAAGTATCATCTGTGGACTTTTTAGAGTAATACTAGGCCATTTTCTACTCACTATGATAATCCCTAGTTTTCATACAGCTAAGTTGACTAATAAATAATTGTACGGATGAATAACATTAACAGGTAAAATTACAATCAACTCCCCCTTTCCTTTCTTATCCGGCCCTCTCCATTCTTTCTAGGCAGTCCTCTTGTAGCAGAACAGTTGAATGAGAGCCATGTTTGATGACTCACCATCACTTGTTGTTAGCTTGTTCTTCTAGTTGTATGTTTCCTCAAGCTGACTGACTACTCTTGAAGCCTACTTGTCATGTTAGTTTTTCTGTTTTGCTTCTTTTTTGACAGCTGTTGCTATTACTGATTTTTTTTTCCCCTTTTTGGTTTGTTTGTTGGTTTTTTTTTAGTTATTTTTTTTAATTTTTTTTTTAATGATTATAATTTTATTACCTGATGTTAACACTAGTGAAATCTTAATTTACTTTTTTTCCCTATGAAATTTTAAGTCTCTCTCTCACCATTTATTTTGTTTTTACTGTTTTTGGGAGATATAGATTTTCATTATTTTAATTAGGTATGCTAAAAGATACAGTTAGCCTACTACTACCTTTCATGAAATTTTTTTTTTTTTTTTAAATTTAAAATTCAGCTTATAAATTATTTGACCTGATTATATAACAATAATATTTATAATTAAACATTTTGAGGTTAATATTTTTATACACATTACTTCTATCAATTGAGGTGGTTTCCATTTATTTAACCTTTTTAACCATGTTAGCTTATTACTGACTGAAAAATTAAAAATTCTATTCAGCAATCATTTCTGAGTATTTTATATTTTTAAAATATTTGTAATCAGCATCCATGTTCAGAATTAAAATATTTTCATTTCTGTCATTTGCTAAACTTAGCTTTATCTGGTACAAAGCTACAGTAGTGAGGCATCCGTGGAAGATCAAAGTTGCTAAAAGACTCTAGACTAACTTACTCATTCTTGATTTTTTATTCTTGTCTCTTTCCATTTAATGCTGAGTTTAAGATTGATAATAAATGAGTTAGCTTATAAAAAGATCTTAATTAAAAACAATCTTTTTGAAGTGCTCTAGAAATAAATCTATATTCAATTTTTTTTTTTTTTTTTAATAGCAAAGAAAAATTAATTTTTTTAAATAATTATTTAGATCTTTTGAAAGTTTCTTATTTTCAATTTCTTATACTTAAGTGGTAAAATGAGTTGCACATAAAAAAAATCCCTTCAGCTCACCCACTCAGGTGTGCCGGGTGGGAAGGGGGTTTGTGTTGCATGACTTGATCTATTTAGTTATCCCTATTATCTCTCCTGTTTAAAATTGGTTCCTCTTGGGAAAATCTCTTAGATGAAACACTAATGACTCAACAGATGCAAGGAAAAAATAAAATAAATAAAACCTGAAAAACTTTGTTATGACACTAGAAAAGAGGTGGTCTTTGAAATTGATTTCTTGTCTTTTTTTTTCTTTTTCTTTTTTTCCCTCTTCACATTTATACTATTATTTCCTTATCAAAAATGGAACTTTATTTTTGTGTGCCCCCCCCCCACACACACACACACGTGCACTACTAACAGTTTTTGTGCATCCTCACCAACTGTTGTACTGGCATCAGGTGGAGTGGAGTGGAGGGGTTGCCAGTGATGGTGGTTGCTAAGGTGATTAGTCATATTCTCAGCATCATGGTAACTGAGGAAACAGCAAAAGCAGATGCTGCCACTGCTGCTCTTGCAGGGCTACCAAGAAAATAATCTCGCTTGGCCCTTTTCCCATGCAGCTGCATTATGGCTGCCTGTTCCACTGCCACAGGCACCTATAATGACTAATGGTTACATTCGCTTCAGTGACTCACAACATAGTGATGGAAATGAAAGTAACAGCTAGGAACTAATAGATCAAAATGTGATTTTGAGTTTTATATATATATATATATATATATATATATATATATATATACACACACACACACACACACACACACACCTGTATGTGTGTTGCCCAGCAGGTGTAATTTTAAGGTGTTTATGGTAATTTATTCTGCAATGAACAAGATTGGAGTGAAATCAATTGTGGCAGATTGTTTTTGTTTTGTTTTTTTATTTCACATCTGCTTTCTATAAGAACCTTACTTTTTTCTTTATTTATTTTTATTTTTTATTATTTTTTTTTTTTAAGCCTTAAGTCATAAATTATGAGTTGATCTTTAAGTGGCTAATAGACTCCATAATTAAATGGATATTTTTATTTATATTAAAATTTTCAAGAATTAACTATTTTCTTTTTACAACAGTGTTCTTTATTAAATATAGTAAAAGCTTTAAAAAAATTAGTAGTAGCAGTCTTATGGAAAATAATAAACTGTACTTTCTAGTGAAAATTAAACAGGTGCCTACTACTTTTACAATCAAATCTGCAAGATGACTTTTCTAGTAAATTCTTGGATCATTCTTATTCTTAAAACATTCCTTGTGATTTTCATTTATCTATCTAATCTTGCATGAGCCTAATCCTAATATAGACTGGCATCTTTTGATCTACCTATAGTTATTGTATTAAATTTAAAAGAATATTAACTTGTATTTCATTCTTGAATTTCATACCAATAAAGATGGAATCTATGGTAATTGATAGATTTCTTTTACTCTCAAATTTCTTGCACAGCTATTTGTTAAAAAAAATTTTAAAACTATGAAGTTGCATCAATTTCTTTGCTGTTATCACTTTTGGGTCTGAAATTTTTTCTGTCTTTGAGAATAACAATTAAATTTGTTTTTGGTACTGCTAGAATATATATAATTGAATACTAGGGCAATTATCATTTTTAATTTCTCTCCAGTTTTTATTAACTCCAGCTACTACGCAAAACATTCCAGTGTAGATATTTTATGGGAAGATCAAAGCAATCCCATTTCTGAAATCTCTTTACAATTCATAAATGAAAGACTTATTTCTACTCAAATAACTTTCATACATGTGTATTGGAATTTTTCTCTATCTAATTACTTCCAGTTCTGTTAGCATTTAAAATGCTTTGACATGATTGAAAGTATTGACCTTTTAGATGTCTTCCTCCTCCTCAGTTCTGCTCGCCTGACCATTCTAGGGTTGACTCATCATCCAGAATAAATGTTGGATGCTCCTCTTCTTTACATACTGCAGCTGTAGGTAGTGTTTTTTGTTTTTCACATAGTTTTATCTTGACATTCCACTCATTCAATTAGTAAAACAAATGATTTTAAAAGAAGTTTAACTGACTCTATAAAGAAAGGGGTGTATATACACACATGCACACATGCACATATATATATATATATATATATATATATATATATATATATATATGAGAGGTGCTGAAAAGTTCTTGGTTTGATCCAACATCAGGTTCTTTTTTTGGAAGGGCTTCCTCCCCCAAAAAATATAATCATTCATTTGTACAGATTTTTGGCTTGAGTATCTTTTCATCAACCCTTAGCATGCATATACCCCCCACCATGCATTTTTTATATATATATATATATATATATATATATATATATATATATATATATATATATATATATACATATACACACACACACACACACACATACACAATAAAACTATTCTTAGCTGATCTTGTCTTTTTATTCATTTTGTTCTTTCACAAATACTCTATCCGAAGATAATATGCACACCTCTCTCTATCTATCTATCTATCTATATATATATATATATATATATATATATATATATATATATAGAGAGAGAGAGAGAGAAAAGTTCTTGGTTTGACCTCCTTTCCCATAATTTGGTCAAATATTAGAATTTGTGAAGGGGGTGTATATATATATATATATATATATATATATATATATATATATATATATACTCTAATATTGCTATTAGCCTCATATTTTTTTAATTACAAACCAGAGACTTATCGAAAGGAGAAAAGAATCTAATGCTGTTATATGAATAGATAACTCCATCTACCTTATTTTTTTGTGAATTTTTATTCTTGTCTTGGCTCATGTTTCAATTTATCTTTTTCTTTTTTTAATGTAGGTTTTTCCTGCTGACCGATATCGTGAGGTGATCTGTACTTATTGGCAGGTAGACTCTCATCCGAATATTTCGAGGGTTGAAGAAGTAATTATTAAATCACAACAAGTTTACCTATTCTTCAAGTGTAACTATGGAGATTTGCATTCCTATGTGCGTCAGAAAAAAAGGTTGAAAGAAGCTGAAGCTTGCCACTTATTCAAACAGGTTGTGGAAGCAGTGTCCCATTGCCATTGCAATGGTGTCGTTCTGCGTGATCTCAAACTCAGGAAGTTTGTCTTTATCGATCCAGAAAAGTAAGTACATATATCTCATCTTCTGCTTTCAGAATTGTATTTTTACATTCACTTCACTGATTTTATAAAGAAGAATGTATATATTTTACATCTGCACAAATTAGGCTAAGATTAGTCAGGTCAGGCTTAGGTATGCTACTGGTAACATGTAACCCAGTACAACCTGCCACATGGATGGGTGGTTGGCAAGTAAGCCAACTCCCCCCCCCCACACAAACTTTTCCGCAAGATGAAAAACAAGACCTGCCAAAGGGCAGATGGTGGTCTTATAAGACCCAACACCTATCTTTTTTTATATATATATATATATATATATATATAAAGGATGGGATCTCAAGCCATGAATGGTGGCCTTCATAGAGATGGGATCTCAATAAAAACACTGTACTTGGGGGCTGCCACAAGTGTCAGAGTTGGATGTTAGGAAGATAATTTGACCTAGTAAAATTTGGTCTCAAATAATTGACAAATTCTTTGTCAGACATAACCCACCATGTTTTGTGCATGATTAATCCTATGCCTTGATGACAAAAACAAAACATGGCTATGTATGTCTGTGTGCATGGTTCCACATACTGCTGAAGTGTCCTGGTTTAGTGTTAATGTTTCACTCTTCATTTTGAGAATCTCTCATCAGCCCCATTTTTTGATAGACATTTTTGTGAGCTATTCTACATTTCTAATATATGAATATCTATGATTATATAATTTATTTGGTAGACTCTTTAATATGTGATTATGCCAGGAAATACCAGATGGCCTGAACCATATTTAATAACAATAAAGAAATTTGAATCTAGGAGGAGTTGATATGTGGTGACCCCAATATATACTGGCTCACCTTAAGAGACTCCAGAATAGATTTTGCACTCAGTATCACACCAGAGACTCAGAAGCCAGGTGCATTAGTGGGTTGACCTGGAAAGTAACCTTATAGCTACTAAATGCACCTTTGTTCCTCACAGGATGTCAGTAGCTGCTCCTGACATGTAAACAGGGGGTCAGCCCAGCTGAGAGTGTGCACATGTGAGACAACCAGATGACAGGAAGATATATAAACACTCAATAAGACACTCCTTCACATCCTCACAATAGGAAAATCCATGTTTGAAGAAAGTCTCTAAAGGCACACACCCTAGTGACAACATTAATTGACAAACTCCAGAAATGAATAAACAATAATTTTATGCCTGAAAGATTTAGTCTTGTATTCTTATTAGTCTTGATAAGTGTATGTAAATATTAATATTGAGTAGGTTTAGTTTTTGTCCTGAGTAAACAGGACAACACGCATAAATAAGATAAAATTGCTCTCTGCTAAAATATTAGTAAACTTTAAATAATTGCTTTTATATATAAAAAAAAAGTGGACAGAATAAAGCCATTATTTGTTTTTTCTGCATTAGTTATATAATCAAATTGCCAACATTCCAATCTGGTTTAACTAAAGCAAATCTGAAGATATGTAAATGACATTTTCTGGGAATTTTTTTTTTTTTTTATAATTTATTTCCTTATAATTTATTTCCTTATAATTTATTTCCTTGTACCAAATAAAAACACAATGTACTTTAAAAGACAGGAATTTTAAAACTATATCCCTGCCACCTCCAAATTATATATCTACTAAAAATTACAAATAATTAAAAATAATGATTTCCAAAAAGAATAAAAAAAACAAAAAAACTTTACTATTGCATTTTAACAAAAATTAGTATAAAAATATAAACAAAATAGTATTAATAAAACAATAAAGACATAACTTATTACAAGCTGTGTCCTCCTCCAAAATAAATAAAAACTAACCAAAGTAATTCTTATACTGAATAACAGTTCTAGAAACCAATCAAAAAGGATCTCTTACTCACATGCTTATATCAGTATGTTACTGAATTAGAAATTACAAGATAAAGCTGGCTGGCTTCTCTTCTTTTTTTTTTTTCTTTTTTTTAGGAGACAGTCATGGGCCTCATATCTATACTACTAGCTCATTTGTATATATCACAATCAGTCCATTTCTCCAACCTTTCACAATATGCTGCTCCATCTCATGCCTTACCTTTCCATTGCAGAACAGACTCCTTAAAGTAAAGGAGCTGAGAGTGTCACTCAAAATATAACCTTGTTTTCCTCCCTCTAACAACAGCAGGTAGAAGCTGACTGCTAGAAATCACTCATAAGTGAATACAGTATGTCACCGCCTAACTGGTATGGATAAATATACCATTCTGTCTGAATTTCTTTATTCCAAGCATTGAAGAAAGGAAAGGACTTTTTGGGGTTTTTTTTAAAAAAAAAAAAACAGATGGCCAAGTTATGTTAACCTCATATAAAACTTGGCTATGATTGTAAGCAGCAGTAGCCATTATTGGTCCCACCATCCAGATTATTTACTCTCCTTAAGCAGCATCCAATGACCCAAGTCTCTAGCAACTATTACGATTACTTGATAAAACAAGATTCTCTCAACCCTCAGCCACTATGGCAAGAGCAGGGTGTGGTTGTTCTGTGGGTGGACAGTTAAAACAAGGTACCATCCTATCCACTACTCTTCCTCTGTTCTGCTGTTCATTAAGACAACATAGTATTGCATTGACATTATAGATAGTGGCATTCTTAAAACAGCACTTAATTTCCTCTCTTTTCATGTTGGCTCATTAAAAATTTGATTTGTTTTTTGTTTTGTTTTTTCTTTTAATTGTAAATTTAGAATTTTAACTCTATCAAATGTTGAAAATCACTGTAGTGATTTTTCATTAGACATCAGTCAACCATTCTGTTCTATTCCTTTTTTTTGTTTGTTTTTAGTCTTAGATTTCGAAGGCCTGGTATTACCCTCTCAAAACATTTTTTATTATTAAATAACTACTAGCATGCAATGGTTTTATTGTACTATTGGTCTGGTCCCACTGCTAAAACCATACAAGACTCTACATCTAATTCTGATTCCTGATATAGAGCAAATTCAATATTCTAAAATGGCTGATGCATTGCTTCTATTTCCATTTAAAAAAAAAAAAAAAAGTCTGAATATTAACCCAAACAAGCTTTTCACCTACCCTAAAAATCTTGAATACTCGTGTCTCAGCAGCTAATGCCTCTGTAAATATATGGAATATGTTTAAGTATAAATATCATTAGTTTGAAATTGAATACATTACTTTCTACTTGTAAGCTCTACACACTTGAAATAGAAATTAATGTATGCATTTTTTAATGCCATGTCCCCTTTCAGGTGTAAGTAATCATGGCTCTGCACAGATTTTTCTTTATCTGTGAATTGCTATGCATTCTTGTAAAGGATAGTTAGGATGGTTTTTCCCCCATTGTTTTCCCCCATATTTTGAAAATCAGATTTCCTTCTCTTAGACTGGTTGCCACCTAAGATTAGAGAGCTCAGTCTACTCTTCTATTTAACCCATAGCTGGGAGCAGAGAAAAAGAGATGGATTCATGCCTTCCTCAAAGACCTTTAGGTCAACATGAAGGCAACAGATTAGCCTGGAATTTGAATTCATCAATTCAACTTTCCCTGACTGTATTTATTACACTACATATACTATGAATAGAACATTTGAGAATTATGCTAAAAGTGAAAATTTGCAAGTAAATTTTATTGTATTTGCTCATTTTAATTTAGTTTCTTGAAAAACTAATAATTTAAATTTGATAGGAAACATTTTTTTTTTTTTTTTTTTAATCATTTCACTCCGAGCAAGGCAATAAAGATACTAAGACACAAGAGGTTACCACGTATAAAAGAATAAACAAAAGAAACATTAAGATGCAAAAACAATAAAATAGTGATCAAGAAGACAATAGATATGAATTGATATTGCATTTAAATTTTTGAAAATCAATGTTGGCTGGCTTTATTTGTAGTTTTAATCTGAACTTGTTTTTAAGTTCGTTTTATGCTGAAAGCTATTTTCTCACCTGAAATCTTTTATCAACCATTTCTTACCACTTCTAAAGAAAAATATTTTTTTAAGATGAATTTTTGAAGTATAAAATTTAAACATTACAACCTTTTTTTTTTTTTTTTTTTTTTTTTGTAAATAATTAAATTATGCTGAAAAATATTCTTACTGTACCAATATTTCACTTATTCCTATTAAAAGTTAACAGTATATATTTGTTGTTTATTTCAGAACTCATCTGCAGTTGGAAGGATTAGAGGATGCTTGTTTATTGGAAGATGAATCCAATGATAAACTCACTGATAAACATGGTTGTCCTGCTTACGTGAGCCCAGAGATTCTGACCACTGTCATTGAAAGCTATTCAGGCAAAGCTGCTGATGTCTGGAGTCTTGGTGTCATGCTGTATACAATGATAATTGGCCGTTACCCCTTTCATGACACAGAGCCCAGTGCTTTGTTTGGAAAAATACGCCGTGGCCAGTACTCCTTGCCAGACATTTTATCTTCAGGTGCCAAATGTCTTATACGTAACATGTTACGGCGTGATCCTGCACACAGGCTCAGTGCCGAAGACTGTCTTTTGCATCCTTGGTTAACTGGTCATTGGCCAGATGTGATGTTTACTCCAGCTTGTGTTGATCGAAGGCAAACAACAGACCAGACCGTCCCAGATATAAAATTAACAGAGTTAGATGATGACATTTTTGACTGAGAGTCATCAGTCTGAAATGGAAACGAACAGCTTAAGCAAGAAACTATTCCTCGAGAGTAGGCAATTTGACCCCCCCTTCCCCCATCCCCACTTACATCTTTCTCAATTCACTAAAACCAGTTTCTTTTCCTCTGCCCAAGTCCTGTGCTAATGGTCTATTGATGACAGCAGTATTATACCTGCTCGCAATTGGAATAGAATCCGAAGAAACAGCCAAGTGACGTCTATATTTAACCAATACGCCTTGTTATATTTCTAACAAGGAGTTTGTTACACTCAAAAGCAACACTACAGCTTATAAAATAGAAAAATTATTTAATGAAGATAAAGTTTAGTTTATTTTTTCTAATAAAATTGATAAATTAAAAAAAAATGTCCTTTTTCTCTCTTGCTATTTATTTAATGACCAACTTTTAACTATATTAAATGTGAAACTTTTTCCTCCAGTATAAATATTATCTTAGGAAATCTTTATAAATTACTTATTTAAATTCTAAATATTCATAGCAAACAGATTTTTTTTTTCTTTTCTTTAAATGTCCTTTTGTTTTGTTGTGTTTTTTTTTTTTTTTTTTGTGCTTATTCACAGTTAGTCTTTTGTGTATCGGTACAAGATATTGCTTAATACAGTCTCCTGTGTATGTGTGGGTGTGTTCTACAGAAGGCTTTAAAGCCTGATGTATTTCAGCCAATCACTGATTAATCCCTTTGTATCTAGAATTGAAGTGTCCTAAATTGGATTGATTGACAGATAATCACTTATAAACAGCCGTATTCAAGTAGTTTTTCACTTGATGAAAAATAATGAAATGCGGTTTTTAACCTTAAACACTTGTGAGATGCTACAGTACTGTTTCTCTAATTTACTTTATCTTAAAATGTTTAATGAGCGAGTGTGTATGATAATTGCTTTTACGCATTTTGTGTTAGATTCCTCATGTCTCAAATGGTTTATAATTTAATAATTATGTGGTCTCATGCTATTTTTAAATTTAGTTAACCAGCTTTTTGATCTAAAATCTCTTTAGTTGGGTTTAATATCTTACCCTTGTACTTATACAAATTTAAAATATTCTTAATACTTCACTGCCATATTTGTAATGGTGAGATTCGGATACATTTAATGACGCAACAGTTAGTGCAAATGTTTCTTTGTGTCTGTTTTTATATATTTTTAATCTAAAAAGCATGATTAAAGTTTGCATAGATCGTCAGATATTTATTACCAATTTTTAAGTATATTAAAACTCGTTTTATATTTTTAGAAACACCAACACAGATAGTGTTGTATTTTTGTGTATTCTTAAATGTTTGCATAAACTTCAGTTTTTTTTTTTTTTTTTTTACAACTAAGAACAATTCACCTGTAATTTGATTTGTCATACAATAGATTTTTAAGTTAATATTTTCTCAACATGCATTACTACTGCCACAACAAAAAAAAAACTGCTTGTTTAAACTGTTGTAACTATAGACCATTTTTACTAAACTCATTAACCAAAAATATTTGAACTTTTCATCCGACAATTCTTTTTTGTTGACCTCATTGTTTTTTTTTGTTTTTGTTTTTTTTCATCAATGAATATTATGGCCCAAAAACATTTGGTCCTAAATCCAGAAATGTTTGGCATCATTTCCAAAGTTGTTTAAATTCCTGACAAAAATAATGATCTGAAAAGCCTAATTGTAGGGTTTTTTTTTTTTTGGTTTTTTTTTTGGTTTTTTTCCTCCAAGTTTCTCTCTTTGTTTGTTTCATTTAAATTCTTTCCCCTATCCACCCATCTACCTCCAAAAAGTCCACCCTGCTTCTTTAGAGCTTGCCTAGTTACAGCTCCTCCTTCTTGCCAGTGTTCCTGACCACTGCCTCCTCTCATTTACACTACCCCTCCCCACTTCAGGTAGTGTTTATATAAACAAATACTTCCAAGCAGCTATGAGGAAGGGAGCTTTGTGGCCTCTTCAAATACTATCCTTTGGTTCAGCATTTACTTGATGATGTCTTTAATTATTTTAACAAATGTCACAGAAAAATGAATGCTTTCATCACAGATGTAACAAAGTCATAATCTAAATGGGGAATATGCCACAAGTGAAAAGTAAGCGCATTCAGGCAGCAAAAGCAGTCTATTGGAAAAGTGATGGGAAAATATTGATAATCAGAGGAGACAACTATTCCATTATATTTTATCTACATGGATCTCTTTTTCTATCTTTTGATTAAAATGACATAAAACATTTCATAACTCATTTCCTTCAGTTTTCTCTAATGTGAAGCTGTTGCAAAGAAAACTAACAGTTACATTGGAATATATGTCTCCAGTCAAACTTCCAAAGGTCCATACTTCAAACTGATTGTTCATAAAGAACAAACACCCAGCATTGAAAATCAATCAAATGTTAGCTTCTAATTTAGAAAATATAGAAATCCTATAAAGTGGGGTGGGGAGTTCTATGCACAAATTCCAGAAAGTTGAATCAATTTTATTCTAAGAAAATATGTGTTATCCAAACTCTTCACAAAAGAAAGATCTGATGGAAAAATAAATCCAGTGTCTGTTGACTGTTTGCCAAGAGATGCATCAATCTAGCCTATCATCCATTTTCTTTTTATTATTATACTGGGTAGGTGTGTTTCATTATGTTGACTGGTAATACTTCTCAGACTTCAAGAACACAATGTTCATTTAATGCAAACTAAACATTCCTCCTCCTCCTCAGCAAAGTGACTTTGGAAAGTAAACACTACAATTTACATCACTGGCAGTTTAACACTATAAAGTGATAAATGAAGTGATCAATATGGCTGTTTTGCACCAGATAAAAGAAGCTTTTCTCAGCAATTTGGCCAACACTGATTGTCCTTAGCTTTTCTTTGAATTCTCTTTATTCTTATTATAAAACTATACAAAGATTGCAGGTATTCAGTAGTGATTTCATTTAGCCTTCCCGTGTGTTAAAATAATTATAGAGGAAGAGATCATTCTTAAACTTTACCCAGCAAGGCAAGTTTATATAGGGTTGGTAGGGGGTGGACCAAAAAAGATCTCTGTTTAAGGATTCTCTTGGCGAGACAAAATTTCATCAGTTGGGTAAGTGTATTCTCAGACAATCCTCTCTTTCACATAGTATTTCTCTTTTGAATTGCTTGCCAGATCATGTGTCAGTGTTTATATAAAGGATCTCAACCAAATCAGTGCCACCATCTCTTCGCACAAGGACCAACACGAAAAGCAAGACACTGCTTCTGGCATTAATAAAACTGGTACATTTTCTGATCTACAAATAAATGGCCTGACAATGAACATTTCGGTTATATTCAATTGTTCCCCATCAGTGACTTCATTAAAAGAAACACTCAATTTCATCAAAGACCTCTCCCAACTACCAATGTTATTTACATTCAGACTAATGTCTTCATCTTTGTTGTTATTATCTTAGTGTTTCAGCTATTGTGCTCTCTGGCCTTATTCAGGTGTCTATCAATCGAAGTAACCTTCAGAAGAAAATTGGTGGGGACACAACACTCAAAACACTGATGATAATAATAATAAGGAAGATATTAGTCTGGATGTAAATAACTCATCATCCCAGAAATTCAGACAGAAATTAATGCTATTTTACCAGTCAGGTTTGTCACTAGTTTTTATTGACATCACAGATGTTCACTTGAGCCTGAATTTTAAGGAGTTGATTGAAAACAAAATTGGATATTTATTCACATGAAAATAATAATAACTAGATGATGTGAACTTAGTAATTGGGCTGCTGAGGGATTTGGGGATAAGGCTACTCGAAACCAATCTTTTATAAACCCCACAATTTCCTAATACTCAATTTAAAAAATAAAAAAATCAATCTTCACTTGCATTTCCCCCCCCCCTTCACCAAAATGCCACACTTTCTGTGTAACCACTGTAATCTTTCCAAACTGATATATCTACAATAGATATATGTAATAGTGATGGGACAGGAGAAAACCACCCCACAAAGTTATGGTGATTTTTCTAAGCATAGCTTAGATGTGGCACAAGGCCGAAAGCATGAGGCATCCAATGAGGATCAAACTCACTACTCCGTCGTAATTGTTCTAGCGAGACAAGCTTGCTAACCATTACACCCTGTTGAGGTGCCCCCTCCAAATTCATGAACTGGCAGATTTTGTTAATATGGGTTTTACCCTCCTTTCTCTGCTTATCTGTCTGTTTTCTGGGAAACCATGTGCCATCTTATTTTGCACCTCTCTCTCTCTCTCTCTCTCTCTCTCTCTCTCTCTCTCTCTCTATCTCTATCTCTATCTCTAAATCCAGTAGTAAATATATAAGTTATATAATTTTTTTTTTTTAACCAGTCATTTTCATATGAAATCTGTTTAAGGCAATTTTCCTAACAACTACTGAGTTAGTTTTAATTAGTGAACAATTGTGGTTAATAATAACAAATGTAAAAATCTATCTCTCTCTTCCCTTTTTTTTTTTTTTTTTTAAAGATTGCTTTGAACTGAAATATTCAAGCATGCATCTCCTTAATTTTTTTTGTTTTTCTCTCTTTGGTTTTTCAAAAGGACCACAGATAGGGCAAAGACTAATCTTGTATGATTGTATTAGTTAATGTGTTCCTAGGTTGTTTCTTCCCCACTCTTTTTCTATAACTTATTTTTCAATCACTTTTTTGACTGCCGTCCAACATCTTACAAGAGGGAGTAAATATTTGGCTGTATTATTGTCTACTGCTTTTGGATCATTTCCACAGCTATACATTAAATTTCAAAATTCCTCTTATTCTCAAAAGCGATGTTGGATATATGAGGTTAACAAAACACTCATGCACAATTTCTTTCCTGTTATTCAAAAATTAAATCAAGTAACTCTTTTTGACACTTATTTATAATCTTAAAAAAAAAAAAAAAATGTTCATTTCTATTAACCCACTGAAAGTAATTGCCAAAAATGCAGAGGCTTAAAAATAAATATATATATATATATATATATATATATATATATATATATATATATATATATATAAAAATAAGAAGGAAGTTTTTTTTCTATTGTTGTGGATTTGTTAACTGTATCAGTTGTTGATTTGAAGTCATTCAACCTAAAAATTGTTATATAAAAAAATAAATGAAAATTATATAAAAAATCTATTAAAAAAACAAAACCTATTTAATAAATTGAACTCGGATTTTTTTTTTTTTTTTTTTACCTTTGTTCATACCGGAGTGAAAATTTTGTTAGTCTTTAGCAAGAGCCTTTGATTATGGAACTATTGAAAAAAATGATTTTTATTAAAACTTTTACCGCCCATTATTATCATTTAATCATGTTTTGTTAATTTGAAAACAAAAATGCTTGCCAGAGTCTCATTATTTCTTTTTTCTTTTTTCTTTTTTTTTTCTTTTTTTTTTTGCTTGGTTTACTGGGCATACGATCTTGATGAAAGATAACAACTTGGATGAAAAAGTTGACTAAATGAAATAAGTCCCGTTGACTTAAAATAGTGATATAATCTCATCACAATAATTTGATAAATACACCTCATATTTCATTGAACAATCATATCACCCTAATTGAACTATTCTTGCTAGTTTATCTACTGTTAATTAGGTTGGATATAATTACTTATTGAAGGCACATCTAACACAATAATAGGCAAAGTAATTATTTAAATTATTCCTTGTTATTCTTAGATTTTCTTTGAATTCATTTTTCACCACTATAACTATCAGTACATGTGTTTATCAATTCTGTTTAGTTAACTGTTTTATTAAAATTGTTGTCTTCTCCCAGGACTATGGGCCTCAGTAAACTATAGCCAAGAACATTCTCGAATTTTTTTTTTTTGTTTTTTTTTTTTTTTAATTTATTTTTTCTTCCACTTCATCCTTTTTTTTTTTTTCTTTTTTTTACTGTATTGTTGTAAACAATTTCCATCTTCACTGCTACCTTGTGGACAAACAGTTATAAATTGGTGTAAATTTTTTAAAAAAATATAATAAAACAAATATATATATATACATATGTGTATATATATTTATATTTATGTGTATATATGTACATGTGTGTGTGTATATATATGTATATATTTAGCGTGCGTGTGTGTGCGTGTTCCGTTGATTGTTTGCCAGGAATCCACTGTTGCTATGACAATGTCACGATTACTGTCATTGTAAATGTGGTGTATAACACTTATCTGACGGATTTGTTTCATATTGAAATAAAAAAATTATCTGTAACTATATTAATGGTGTCCTTCTTTTATCTTCATTTTAAAAAGTTCCATATATTTTTTTTAAAAAAAAAAAAAAAAAGAATATTGGATCAAGAAATTATTAAAGAAATACATATGCAAAAATAAATGTAATATTTGAAAATGCAATTCAAAGAAAAATGATATTCTCTTTTACTCACTCACATACATGCCTTCCAATGTTAGGAAATCTTTTTCATGAAGAGAAAAATACAGAAAAAAAGTAATCATGGTTACGCCTGTTATTTGTACATTTAAGATTAATACAGCCAAGAGAGAACATTTACAATACCGTAATTGCTCAGTTTCGAGGTGCTTAATTTTAATTCCTTGGGGGCAGGGGGTACTAAATTGAACTTTTTACAGTAAGTAATTCTTGATAAATCCCATGAGATGCAGAAATTGTCAGATTTTTATTTCTTGATTAAGTTCACAGAGGCACCTAGATCCCTACATCAGTTTACACTGATGATTGTGAATTAGCAAGGGTGCAGTGTAGAAAATAGTAGTCTAAGTGCTTGTGCTAACATGAAACGGTCTTACTAAAAACTGGCATTCACTATTAAATATATATGGTTCTCATCTTTGTTCTTTTTGCCCCTGCTTTTAATAGATTACTATTTTTAGGCAACATATAACCAACAAATACCACATTTTATTTAATGAATATTTAAAAAAAAAAATTATGCTTTTGTGAGCCACATAAAATCATTCGGTGGGCTGCATGCAGCCCATGGGCCATATTTTCTCATCGCTGGTTTAGTGTTAAACCTTCTGGGTTGGAGAAGCTTATCTTGATGTTGCTTCTCCAAAAATTTGGTGCTGTCAGATATCATCCACGGCAGGATGGGGATACCAGACCTCGTAATACAACATATTTCTGACCTGTCCTCACTAATTTTTATTATCTTTTTTCTTACACTAGTTCGGGGTTCTTGAATGAATTAAGGTTGATGAGTAATGTGCCAAATTCACACCTCGACTTTTGTGTGTGTGTGTGTTTTTTTTTTTTTGTTTTTTTTAAGGGATGATTCCTTCACGATCACAGTCTTCTTCAGTATCACCAATCAGCTTTTTCTTCTCTTTGAGATCATCACCCAACCAAATTCAAGTTATCTTCCTCGCTTGTCCATCTGAAACAACCTGGTTCTCATCTTAGTTTATTTTGCCCCTGCTTTCAATAGATGGTAATCCCTTCACGTGACACCATAGACATTGTGAAACAATATGGAATTATGAAATGGTAAAAAAAAATGACATTTGACGAATTACAGACTTAACAGAAGGCAAACTTCGAGCAAGGAGTGAACTCGGGACCTAACAGTGTAATGCAATAATACTGATCACTCAGATTCAGTAAGGGGAGGAATGGATCTACACTTAATGAGACAGGTGTGTCGTTACCGCCATCAAATCGCTGTAGTTTGGGGAAGGCCACCATCTAATGAAGAATGTTTGGCTGAATTGTTCCCTCATATCTGTAATATTGGAAAGGTCGGAATATTTGTAGCGAAGGTTAATAAAAGCTGATTAACTTATTTTTTTTTAATCATTTCACCCCCAAGCAAGGCGATAAAGCCACTACAATGTAATATTGCTGAAAATAAGGTGAAGGAACATGAGAAAACATTTCTGGGTAAAAAAGGACAATAAAAAAAAAATAGAATCCAAAGAAAGAGATGATGATGATATCTATTAGTAAAAAGTGACTATCTTCTCCCTAGTTTTTCCAGAAAAGGAAGGACTAACCAACAGCACAATAGACCATTGATCTATGACCGCTGTTAATATATTCGGGACCACGGGCCAGCTAAAATCAAACCGTCTTCCATGATTTTGGTATGAACTGAACTTCTACAGAAATTAGATCCAGGCACATTCATAATCACCACACCCATGTAATAAACAGACTGCTTTAGGGCCCCTCAAAACATGCCATCTTGTAAGCAATGAATCTTGAGGGATAGAAATTATCTGCACAGCCTTGTACTTAAGCAACAGCAAACCTATTCACACCTGAATGGAAACGTCAACAATTCTTTCCAGCTGAATTTTTAAAATGGCGGCTAAGGTTGTTCTGTTAGTCATGGGCCCTTGTTAAAAGATTATTGATTCAACAAGCCAGAGCACAGCAAAAGAAAACTACAAACACATTCCCAAAGAGCTAGCTACCCGTTACAATCCAGTTTGCTAGTTTTACAGACATCACCTTCAACAAACGAGAGAGGTCAGCAAGTACAGGTCTTTACTTGCTGACCGCTCTCTTATTTTAACTGTATATTCTATTCTAATAGGGTTTTTTTCTCGTACTTCTCACCTGGGTACTCTCTTCTGATTTATTGCTTCTCCGCCACCTACAATCATGTTCTTTTATTGTCCCTTTTTATTCTCCTTTAACTCCCAGTAATCCATAGTGTCTTAGTAGCAGAATTGATTGATGAAGGTGAAATGATTAAAAAGAAAACAAATGGAAACATCAAGCAAAATAATACCACACTGCATCTGGTTTGCCTTCTTACTGTGCAGAAAAAGTCAACGGTTTCATCCACTGCAACGCTCCGTGATTTGAACATTTGGGTCTCAAGTTCAATGCAGATCTCAAGTTCATCTTGTATACACGATCCATTACGAAAGATGCTGGAAAGATGGTCGATCACTATGTTCTTCCAGAAAGTCTGTAACTCTTTCTTTCATATTTTCTCTTTACAAGAGTCAGATCAGACCAAAAATGGAGTATTGCTGCCATATCTGCTTTGGAGCTGCCCAGTCCTCACTTTCCAGCTTGTATCACTTTAAAAAGTACCTGACTTCTTATGCCCTGTTCTTTCTTTACAAGTGTCAGATCAGACCAAAAATGGAGTATTGCTGCCATATCTGGTCTGGAGCTACCAAACCCTCACTTTCCAGCTTGTATCAGTTTAAAAAGTACCTGACTTCTTATGACCTGTTCTTTCTTTACAAGAGTCAGATCAGACCAAAAATGGAGTATTGCTGCCATATCTGGGCTGGAGCTGCCCAATCCTCACTTTCCAGCTTATATCATTTTAAAAAG